GTTTTCACTTCAATAATTTTATTCTTTCTTCACCTGCTGCTTCGACTATATAAGAATATATTGGTGCTACGACTTTTCTGCCTAGAAATCCGTCTGGGTAGGCACCACCCCCTTACGTATTTAACATAACATAAACATTCACGCCTATCACCCAAAAGGGTAGGCAGAGACTACGGACTTCTATTGATACGATCCTGACACATTTCTCTCGCCTATTTTACGTATATATATATATATCTACTCATAAATGCTCGTCTGTGAAAGGTACTCTTTATCTGGCCCATCTTCAGTATAACTTACTGATTTCTGTCACCAAATAGCAGTGTTTGCACCGTCGTGTTGTGTGCTGTTCTTAATCCTCAGAGGTATCAACGTGTATGTAGACTTCTTTGTTTCAAATACCAATCAGGTGGTAAATTTTTGCTGTTGATCTGGAATTACATATTACAATAAAAATATTGTTTTTATTTTTGTTTTGTTGAATATACCGTTTATATCTCTGTGAAAACAAAGTTCCAATAAAGAAGTAACTACGTCGTTATTTGCTGAGATTCCAATACAATTTCTGTAGAAAATCTCGGTTTGATACTTTGTAAATAAGTTGTTAGACCGCTTTATAGTATTATGTGTAGATATGTGATAGTTACCTAACTTCTCACAATTATCGAAAGGATTAGTACTAATCGAGGAGAATTATAGAACAAACAATGTGCGTGTAACCTCGAAAATGTCTCAACGGACACTGGCCGGGGTTGGAGAAGTTATAATGTTAGAATGAGTTCATGTTTTTAGTGATCTATACAAATAAATGAAATTCAAGTGTCTGATTGTTATTAATTCAACCGCTTTTTATTAAATGCATATGAATGTATCGAGTAGTTGTAGCTCAGATGGTTAACGCTCGCTATAAATATAACAGAACGCTAGTAACCAGTGTTCGATCCCCGGCACCAATGAAATTGTTAATTGCAATTTTAAGTGCTGATTTACCACGTGCTCGGCGGTGAAGGAAAACATCGTAAGGAATCCTGCATGTCTGAGGAATAAGAAAAAAATATTTCGATGACATGTGAAGTTTGCCAACACGCATTGAGGCAGCGCAGCGGACACTTCCTTGCCCTAAAACCCTCTCAGATATGAGAGGAGGCCTGTGCTCAGCAGTGGGACGTATATAGGCTGTAAATTTACTTTACTTTACTTTTATATGAAAGTATCATCATTATCATTACAGCCCTTCATAAGTCCACCGCTGAACATAGGCCTCCCCCAAGTAATGCCGCAAAGCACGGTCCTGAGCCACCTGCATCCATCGACTTCCTGCATGTCTTACCAGGTCGTCACTCCTCACGACGTTACCTCATCGTCGGGGGTCGCCCTACACTACGCCTACCGGTACGATGTACGGTACGGTGAGCGACCTTGAGTGTCCTCATACGGCCAGCAGTGAAGGACCACGTCTCAGATCCGTAAGTCATCACTGGCAACACGCACTGGTTATACACTTTAGTTTTCAGAGATTGAGGTATACCTGACGAGAAGATGTGTCGTAATTTCCCGAACGCTGCCCAGCCGAGTTGAATCCGTCCATTGACCTTTCGGTCGAAGTTGGACTTACCTAGTCGGACTATTTGTCCCAGGTAAACGTACTCGTCAACAACTTCGAGCATAGTGCTCCCAACAACTACCGGCATGTGACATGGACATTAAACATGATCTTTGTTTTGTCCATGTTCATCTTAAGACCTATCCGTTGGGAGACACCATTGAGGTCATTGAGCATAGTGCTAAGGTCCTCCAGTGATTCTGCCATAAGGACTATATCGTCGGCAAATTGAAGGTGAGTGATGTACTCGCCATTGATGTTAATACCGTATCCTTTCCAGTCCAGTAGCTTGAAAACGTCTTCCAACGCAGCGGTGAAGAGTTTCGAGGATATAACATCACCCTGTCTTACACCTCTCTGCAGTTGGATAGGTTTCGAACTCTGGTTCTGTACTCGGATAGCCATCATAGCCCTACTGTATAAACACATCAGTACTTCGATATACCGACAGTCAACTTGGCACCGCTGAAGAGACTGTAGCACCGCCCAAATTTCGACGGAATCAAAGGCTTTCTCATAGTCCACATATGCCAGGCAAAGTGGCAGATTGTACTCTTCGGTCTTCTGTACAATCTGCCGCAGGGTATGTATGTGGTCTATGGTACTGAAGCCTTTTCGGAAACCGGCTTGTTCGGGAGGCTGGAAGTCGTCGAGTCTGCGTGCGAGACGATTCGTAATGACTCTCGAAATCAGCACGTAGACGCGGCTCAGAAGGGAAATCGGTCTGTAGTTCTTCAAGAGAGCGTTGTCGCCTTTCTTAAAGAACAAGACCACCGCACTTCTGCTCCACGCCTCCGGAGTAGTGCCACCATGGAGGACGGAATTGAAGAGCTTCTGAAGGACTTCAAGTACCGGTGTTCCACCCGCTTTCAGAAGCTCCGCGTTAATTCCATTCTCGTCTGGGGCCCTGCCGTTTTTAAGGTGCTGGAGAGCCATTCTAATCTCGCTCAGACTGACGTCCGGGATATCATCGGAATAGTGTCGGGTAAGACTTGCTCTTGGATCGTTACTCACACTTGCGTGTGGCTCCAACGATGATGTGTACAGTTGCCCATAGAATCTCTCAATCTCACTCAAAATCTCAGGTGTCTCGACACGAAACGATGCTGCTACACTCAGTCTTCAGCTTTGACAGTTGGCTCTTTCTGGCAGACAGATCTGTGGAAAAGACTTTGGAGCCCTGGTTCCGCTCGATCGCTTCTTTAATACGAGTAGTATTAAAGTTGCGTAAGTCTCGCCGCATGCATTTGGAGATCTTTCTGTTCAGTTGCCTGTATGCTGTCAAATCTGTTGACGATTGCAGCCTCATCTCCCGTCTAACAGCCATGAGATTAAGAGTGTGATCGGAGAGTTTTTGTGTTCTTCTGCGGCGGGTCTTGCAGAACTTAGCTCCGATAGTGTGAACAGTTTCCACGAGCTTGTCATTCATATCGTCCACTGCATTGCAATCCTCTAGGCACTGACAGCGGTTTTGTAATTCGAGCTGAAAGGTTTCGGGATTCTGGATTAGAGCACGAGGGGGACGGAGCGTTGACTTTATCCGACGAGACCTCTCCAACTTAACGTTTAGGTTCAGTGTGCCTCTAACCATTCGGTGATCGCTGCCGGTTTTCACCCTTGCGATCACTGAGACATCACTGAACAGTTAGCGTCTGGTCGTCATAATGAAGTCAATCTCATTTTTTGTCGAACCGTCGGGGCTCGACCAGGTCCACTCCCTGTGGGGCCGCTTCTGGAAGAAAGAGTTCATCATAAAGAGTCCCTCTTTCTCCATAAAGTCGGCCGGCTGCTGGCCCCTTCGGTTCCGTTGCCCTACTCCAAATTTCCCTACCTTCAGCTCACCGCTTTCTCTTGTGTTGTTGTTGTTGTTGAAGTGTTGTTGCCTAGTTTTGAGTTGAAGTCTCCCATCAACACCGTGTAGTGGGTTTTGGAGGAATGCATGGCTCTGGAAATATCCTCATACATTTCTTCCACCTCCTTATCGGGATGTGCCGAGGTTGGTGCGTAAACCTGTATGACCTTCAGGGAATACCGTTTTGTGATTCTGAGTATCAGGTACGCGACCCTCGTCGACACATTCCCAATCTTTACAACGTTGATGATGAGAGACTTGTGGACGATAAATCCGACACCTCCTTGGGACAGATGGTCGCCCTCCCGGTGGTAGAACAACTTGCCGGACTCGAGGATTGCCTTGTCCTCCCCCTCTCTTCGGACCTCGGATAATCCAATAATATGCCAGCGCAACTTGTCTACCTCTTCTTCCAGCTCCAGTATCTTCTCGTCAGTCCTCAGGGTGCGTGCGTTATAGAAGATTGATGACGTATTTGGTACAATACATTTAGACGATAAAAACAGTTTCTTTTCCATATCTAGTACATAATTTTCAAATCTGATATTACTGTTGAAGGTTATGTCAATGTTTTCGGCTTAGACCGCGCGCATTTTATTTTATGTTTGCCATAAATCTTAATGTCTAGATCACCACAAATTCTGCTTATTTGCATCTTTGTACCATATATTTTGAATTTAAGGGGTTTTCAGTAGTTGCATTTTGGATTGACCAGTCAGTAATTCTGTCCAAATCCTCATTAAGCCGTGTTGCATCTTGTGGTGACCTATCTCGTGACTCTGACGCGTATACTTGCACATCGTCAGCGTAGCGATAGTACATAGAATAGTTTATAACTTTGGTAAGATCAGCACAGTAAATAAAAAAATAGACCAAATATGAGAACGTAAATTAGACTTTTTACCAATTTTACTGACTGGTATAGATTACTTAAGTAACCACTAAACCACTTGATCGAATTTTGTTTAACCCTACTACGTGATAGACCCACTGCGACTATTATGGTTGTTGCACGAATGGGTCGGCTCGACCGGGGAAGATCCACGCTCTCACCGAATACCAGCGTGAAATAGTAGCTTAATGCTTCTGTTTCTTATGGTGAGTGTAGAGAAACGGAAATTCGTTTTACTGGAATAGAGGTATTCCATCTTAGTCCTCAGGGGTAACAACGCATTTGCATTTTGAATTTTAATCGAAGTTAAATGTAAATGTCTACGGGCCACAGCATCCACTTACCATCAGGTGGACAGTGTGCTCGTTTGTCACCATTATTCTATAAAAATAATAATGTGTCAGTTCAGCAAGCAGTAAGCGAATATTTAGGCAGTCGAAACTCAAGAATAATCTAATAGCGTTAAAATCGTACAGTGATCGGAATCTTGTTCAGCATATATTATGTTGTCTGAGATATCGGGTAAAGCAGTCACTGTGTCATGTCCTTTGCCAATCCTAGATTATAAATGCGGCTAAATTTTAGTCGCTGCAACAAAATTAATCAACTGTTCGCAAATAGCTTTCTTCAGAAATTTTGCAAGGAATGGCAAAATGCTGATGGTCCTAAGATCTTTTAACTCGACCGGATTTTCATTTTTGGGAATTGGACCTTCTAGTACCTCCTTCAACCTATTAGGAAGTATACCCGTCATAATTGAGTTATTAATTATAGTCGTGATTGCATCTAGAGCACAAGTTAGCGAGAGTAAGATCATATCTCTGCTAATTCCATCATGTCCAACCGCATTCGATTTAATAGACATATGATGTCCATTAAATCGAATGCAATGCAAATATTTGTTGATTCTACGGGAGCAAATTTAAACACCTCAGTGTTTAATCATTAAACACTGAGGTGTTTAAATTTGCTGCCGTAAAACAAATATATTATTTTTGAACATTAAACTTTAATGTTCAAAAAATAATATATTTGTTTTGGGAATTCATTTTCTTTCGGAATTTTCAAATAGTGATCATTGATTTTGTTTGGGTTATTGAAATAGGGAGGCAATGATTTGTCTTTCGAGGATTTTTTTCTTTTAAATGTTTTCAAAATGTTAATGTTGTGCTATTTTTAGCATGAGAATTAACTGAGCTATTTACTAGTGTATATTTATGTTATTTACGGTTTTAATAAATGTACTAGAGTTAAGGGAGTATACATTTAAAAGGAAAAATAGTTTAATGCATCATTTCGTAATCCTTCCCTGTCATTCCGCGAAATTTTTGTCCTCCCCTCGTAAGTAGGCCAGCTTTTTTCCTAAAATTCTTGTTAAAACTAAACTTTTGAGCCCCTGCTAATATTTTCTATGTCCATTTTACGTTCGCTGTTCGTTATTTTCTATGTTCGACATTGTGAGCCATATTACGCTCATCGATCATCATTCTGCAGGCATCGGACATCCACGGTAGTGAATAATTGATTTTCGGATTTACTGTTTTCACTACCGCATTTTTTTTATAGAATAATGTTATATTTATCAAAGAAAGAGAGAATCATTGAATTATAATTTTCCACCATCATATTCATTATAGGTACTCAATTACGTCGTCCCAATTTATTGCATATAAACTATTATTAAATTCATTTAAATTTATTTTATAAATTGGCTTGAATCTTCTTATTGTATATCTTATTGTATATAATATCTTGGGATCTTTAGCTTTTTTTTAATAACATCGTAACATTAACCACTGAGTCACAAGAGTAACCTTACTCTGTGACTGCGTGTCCATTGAAACGTATATTGTAAACAGTGACATCACGAACTAGTGCGTTAGTACATACAAAATCTCAATCTCAATATACGATTTGTAATGAGTCTGCTCACTGAAAACTTGACGATGGTCAATGTAATTAAGGAATTGAGTAATTTTACAGTGCTTCCCACAAGCATATTTAAAATTCCCAAACAATACAATAAAATCATACTTTGAAAAATAATTAATGTAATTAGTTATCGTGTCAATCAATATGTCTATATTGATCCATTGCGGTCTGAACGCAGTCCTTATAGTAACATAATAATCATTGACACGAGTCGATTACCACATCTGTTCAATTAGCTCATTAGAAATGGTCAAATATCTCACGTTAACGTCGCGTTTAATATAAAAAGCAAGTGCTAAATACTGCTGTGTTTCGTATGGTGAGTGTAGACACCGGGGTACTCTTTTTTACTAGAAACGAGGCATTCCATTTTAGTCCTCAGGGGTGACAACGCATCTGCGTTTTGATTCTTTTTAAATATAGATGTTTACATAGGCTGCACTAAAAGTATCGGGAATGGAATATTTCCACTGTTCCTGTCATATTAAAATCTTTTTAATTGTAAACTCCTTGGTTTTAAAAATCGAATACCATTTATTTATTTAAAAAAGATTCTCGGTCTTGTCACAAAGTTTTGTCAAACTTGTTTAGTCGTTGAGAAAATGGAATTGACTCGAGAAATTTCAAAAGCGATGATTTATTATGACTTTCGAAGTGGTTTAACACAAAAACAGTGTGTTGACCGGATGATTTCTGCATTTGGTGATGAAGCCCCATCCAAAACCACAATTTATCGCTGGTTTACTGAATTTCAACGTAGACGTGTCAAGCTCAGTGATGATCCCCGTCAAGGTCGTCCAAAAACTGCAGTCACCCAAGAAAACGTTGATGCTGTGCGTAAGCTGATTGAGAAAGATCGACATGTGACATACCGTGAAATTCAGGCAACTTTAGATATTGGCATGAGTCAAATAATCTTGCATGAACAATTAGGTGTAAAAAAGTTGTTTTCCCGATGAATAACGCATTCGCTCTGAAAACAAAAAGCGGCTCGCGTTACTTGGTGCGTCAGAACTCTCGAAAGATTCCACACCGGATCCTCAAATGCTGTATACAACATCGTATCAGGTGATGAATCCTGGGTATACGCGTACGAACCCGAAACAAAAACCAGTCACGAGTTTGGGTGTTCAAAAATGAGTTAAAGCCAACAAAAATTGTTCGTTCACGGAGTGTTGCAAAAAAAAAAAAAATGGTGGCCACGTTTGTCTCCGAAACCGGCCATGTTACGACTATTCCTCTTGAGGGACAAGGAACGGTTAATACAGAATGGTATGCTAGTATTTGTTTGCCACAAGTCGTTTCTAAACTCCGTAAAGAGAACTGCAACCGCCGCATCATTCTCCATCACGACAATGCGAGTTCTCACACCGCACACAGAACAAAAGAGTTTTTAGAGCAAGAAAACATAGAATTATTAGACCATCCGCCGTACAGCCCCGACCTAAGCCCTAATAATTTCTATACTTTCCCTAAAATAAAGAATAAATTGCGTGGACAGAGATTTTCATCACCTGAAGAAGCTGTGACTGTGACAAAACGGCCATTTTGGAGACCCCAACTTCCGAATGGAATGGTTGCTTCAATGATTGGTTCCATCGTATTGAAAAATGTGTCGAATTTCGCGGAGAATACTTCGAAAAGCAATAAATACATTTTTAAATAGTAATGTTGTGTCACTTCCTTGATTCCCGAAATTTTCAGTGTCGCCTCGTATGGGCCACAGCCACTTACCATCAGGTGGACTGTGTGCTCGTGTGTACTGTAAAAAAATAAAAATATCCATCATAGCTTTTAAATAAGTCAGTTAACAAAGTAGAAGTTACATTCCGTTGATTTTTATTTTTTGATTCTATTGCGCAAAGATTATTATACTTATATTATACAAACTGATGAAAATGCAATGAATACAATTTTGAGCCAATTAAAAAATTAAATCCGTTCAAACAACCCTTAGGAGCATTCCCCGTTTTAGATGCGATAAAATGTGCAAAGGGATGCAAGTATCTCTTTGCAGAGCCATTGAGTCAAGCCAATCAGCTGGAATTTAGCCGTCGATAATTCAAGCCGCTCTGCGCTAAATGCGATCAAGTGAAAGGAGCGAGCACTTTGCCCCGGCTCAGAGATGCGAACAGTATCGAGTTGCTAAACAACTTCAATGCACTCATAGACTTCTTCCTTCTTTCGTGATCAGTCCAAAAATATTTTCTTTTTTTAATATGCAAATCATTTCAGACTTTAGCCTACATTGGTGCGTGTTCTTACAATTAGTTGAGCATGGTTGCGGCTTTAATTAAAAAATACGTAATGTTCTGTCTGTATTTCTTTGTTGCTCTGATGCAAGTAGTTTTATTCAATTTCCTCGATCTGCAAAGGAATATTATTCTAGTATTTTTTTAATTTTTATTGTTAACAGATTAATAAAGTTTATTAATTTTATAACGTAACAATGATAAATCGTAAAGACGGAGCGTAAGCCTCGTATCATATATATATATATATATATATAGTAATCGTAGCCTCGGGAATTTAAAGTAATTTAAATTCGTGAGGCTACAATTGATTTGTAATATGGTCGAAGAGGACCTAAAGGTTTGACATGATGTTATAATTAACCTTGTTTTCTCTATGTGGGGAAATCCTCATGGTTACGGGCCTGTCGCGAAGGCAACGCCAGGTTATACTGGACCTCTACATCATCTCTTCTTCCTTGGTCGGGGCTACGGGAACGCTTTCGCACAATATCATAGCTCTGACAGCGATAGCCCTTACAGGATCCGTCTCGATGACGGAGTGGAGTTGGAGTTCTCCACTCCTTCTTTATGCAGGGGCGCACAGGAAACATACCGTACGCGCTACTTCGAGGCCTAAAAAGACTACGCACAGTCTTCGTGTTCGCCACCTAAGCCTCAATTATGGTGGGTGGGCCTAATATACTCGTCCTTCCTCTCCCTCTTCGCATCCTTCTTTTATGACATCACTTATTTGCAGAAGGTAATATAGGCACTCACGCCTTTTCGCGTCCAATCATAGCTTTAATTAAAGCTGATCGAGAGGTTGTCCCCCACTACATTCACGAGGTCACGACGCAACTCAGCCCCCGCTGTTCTCAAGAATATGCTGTTGTGTCATGCTGTGTCCTCATCGCTACCACAGTGGAGAATCTCACTTATCGGTCCTCTTTCGGCTATAGGGCACATATACTTACCAAAGCACCCGTGCGCGGAAAGCACCTGTGCCAGCTGGAAGGTCAGTGACCCGTGCCGCCTGTTCAACCAGTCTGGCAAGACCAACTGAACAATCTCGACAGTCCTGCTTCCTGCCTTTGGGGCCAAGAAAACTAGTACTTCCGAGTGATCTTCGTGCAACAAACACTTAAAGATTATGTTGTCCGAGTCCGAATTCATGCCTTCATTGATTTCTAAACGGGGTTTAGAGCAAAAAAGTGTGCTATTATGCTGGATCAATCCGTGTAGGCGGGTTTCATATGATTCCTATCATCATCATCATCATTATAGCTCTTCACAAGTCCACTGCTGAACATAGGCCTCCCCCAAGTAATGCCACAAAGCACGGTCCTGAGCCACCTGCATCCATCGACTTCCTGCATGTCTTACCAGGTCGTCACTCCATCTAGTGGGGGGTCGCCCTACACTACGCCTACCGGTACGAGGCTGCCACTCGAGAACCTTTTTTCCCCATCGGTTGTCGGTTCTTCGAGCTATATGGCCGGCCCATTGCCACTTCAGCTTACTAATCCGTTGGGCTATGTCGATCACTCTGGTTTTACTGCGGATATCCTCATTTCTGAGTCTATCACGCAGAGAAACTCCAAGCATAGCCCTCTCCATAGCTCGCTGAGCGACCTTAAGCGT